ATTAAGAAATATGCAGTCCTCCAACCAAATGAGCCATTCGGCCCAATATTTGGTTGGCAAATGTACCCTTTCATCTCAATGATATTTGCGAAGGTAGCATCTTTTATTCTTGTCCGCCTTTTGCAAACCTGCCTTCATGTATGTACTTAGGGATGATAATTTGCCTTGATCTCTGCTGATCCTGTGAGGATCCCCATTACGGGGATGGAACGGAGAGGAATATGTTTTTTTGCGCGGAACGAGGATGAAAAGTATTTTCTCCCTGTGAAAATTCGTAGAAAATTTTCCTCGCTCCGCGAGCCCCGTGAGGATTCATATCCCCACAAAAAATTTTAAAAAAATATAAATTAGCTTTATTTTAAATTTAATTCAATTTTCAAACCTAAATCTAATTTAATAAAATTTAAATTTAATCCAATTTTATCCAACCTATTATTAACCTTTTAGTTATTTATGTTAGATCAATCTTTATTTATGTTTGAATAATTTATATTTAAAAAATTTTAATTAATTATATTTAAATTTTTAAAATTTTATTTATTATAATTGAATATTAATTAATTATATGTAAAAATTTTATTTTTTTATATTAATTGGTGAGGAATGAGTATCCTCGCGGGAAATGGAGATGGGAGGCAAAATTTATCCCCCGTTAAAAATTCCCACGGGGATCCCCGTCCCGGCGAATGGGGAGGGACTCCCCGACCCCACGGAGCCCCGTTGACATCCTTATATGTACTAATTGGATAAGTCAAAATCAAACAAGAGTAACACGAACCAGGAACATGTTTAGGGGACAAGTAGGCTAAGAAGTATGAAATACACATTATGGTTGTTGTTGATCAGATGAACCCTTATATACATGTACATTAATTTTTGCCTCAAGCAGAAAATAGTTGTATACAGACAATCAAGGGAGGGAGACGCGCCAATTCCAATAATCTTCACTTACAAAATTACATGCAAGATGGCTTGGAAGATAACACCTGGTTCTAAAAATTCTTAAGATGACAATGCCAAAACTAGCTATCAACTGGTTCTTATTACCTCCAGTGCTGCCTCCACCCCCGTTGGAAAAACATGATGTCGGGTGTGTAATGATGTTAGCATTTGGGTAAGTAGTCAAACAAGATCAGCTCTACACACGTGTTATCAGGCTGCTGTAGTCGATACCCGATTTAGTTGTATTATGTGTGTTCTCAAGCTACAGTCCTTAACCTATTTAATTAGAGAGC